CCCGCCGGCCTGAGGGTCGATGGTATATCCTCTTGTCTCCGCGTCTGATCCATTTCTGACCCATTCTCGCACCTCATACAGCCTTTCCCGCGCGTGATGGGGAACAACATAAAAAAGAATCCGCCGAATACGCCAAAATCCCCGAAGACAATAAAAAGGCGCGCGATGCATTCGCGCGTGCTTTCGGCACCCGATATTTCCAATTTTCTCGACTCACCTACTTCGATCCCGTGCGTCAAATTATAATTGACACTATGCATTGTATTTTCCTTGGTACGTTTGGTTCAGGGTTTCCTGTCTTGCGCTTGACATTTTCTGCCAGGTATTGTGAAGACACAATGGTTAGATGCTTGGATCAAGGATCCGCCAGCCCTCCGCAAACGTACCGAAATCAACGCTCGTGAAATCGACCAGATTCACGATTATTTAAAGACTGTAAGCGATCCTGATTTCATGCTCCTTTGCGGCCCAATTTCTGACGCTCTTGGAATCTCAGATGGAAATGCCGTCGTGGGTTGCCAGACTCCCAAATCAAGTCGGGTATCCCGCAGGCGGGAATTTAACTGCTGTCCTTCAGCCATAAATTATGCTGACCGCTCCGTAGCTTCCTCATATCTGGGCTGAGTGGTATCCTATTGCTGCCGCTGACCACGAAAAGGCAGAAATCAATTGGAAAAAGAAAGAGACTGCACGCATCAACCGAATCGCGAACGGAACCGACACTGCTACTGATCGCAAAGGTCCGCCCCCAGAACCGAAACCCATACGCATGTTCGAGAATGATCCCGATCTTCTGTTGAAGTTTGCGTCCTGCTGCAAAATTCTACTCGCGGGGACGGTCGATCTCGATGCCTTGCCGCGAGCTCAACAATTGCTTGAGGATTACCTTGCGGGATTTCTCGAGGTGATTTTTTGTACTCGGCTGAGTTTCGTGGGTTAATTTCCCACCCTACTTAGAACCACCCGACACTCGTTAAGCCCAACTTTCATTATGTTACGCACATCTTCCAAATCATCCGCGACTTCGGTCCTGTCTACGGGTTTTGGACATTCTTATTCGAACGCCTCAACAAGCTGCTGAAGAGTTACGACACCAACAACCATGGGGACGGCGAGTTGGAGGTTACATTTTTCCGTGAATTTCATCGAGACGCCAACCTCCGCGAAGTGGTACGGCCTTATTTGATGGATCTAAATCGACTGCTGATCTGGTTTGGATCAGCTCCAAAAACTCGCAAAAAAGGATGTGGTGGAAGGGCTGACTCCGGAGGAGCAGTGCATCGCTGAAAATGCGCGCATGATACTCGCAACCGATGGCGACGTACGTGGAACCGTGGCATCGCTCACGTGCGAGATCGAAACGCTCTCCGCAGATCGTATGTTCCTATTTCTTCCCGACTTTTCAACTAATACTGTTCTCAGTCGGAACTAGCTTCTCAATGGGCTCAGCTGTTTTGAAGGACATACCATCCGGCCTTCAACAGGACATTCTCGAGTACTACAATACCACATATCCCACCATCCCGATCATTTCCCGTGCTGCCGCAACTGCTCCCGGCGTAGACGCGCACTTTCTGCATGGCTCCGTTCAGGCTCACGGTTACTTTATCCTGGACGGCCGCCGGATAAAGTGCTCCACTTCGCAGACTGACGCTTCCAGCTCTTTGGTCCAACTAGATGCGGGTGGTGTTAGGTATGTTGGACAAGTATACAACATCCTTACCCACCGACAGCCCGGACTCGACCGTCCACACTGCCTTCTTGACGTTCGGTGGATGCGACGTTGCCTGGATTTCGATATGTCTCCGTGGGATTCGTAGTAAGTCGGAGCTTCGACTGATCGGTTGCTATTAATCAGACCCCCTGCAGCCCAGAACTTGGAATTTTTGCTTGGGACCACGGCAAATTCCTCCGAAGGACTGATCCCGGTCCACAAAGAATCGTCCCCATCACCGACATCCTTTCGCAAGCCGCGCGACTAACAATTGTGCATAAGGAGCAAGTCTTAAATTCCGACTCTGAGGGAGACGATGAACCGGATCTGGACGAGGAGGCCGAAACATCGACTGGACCCACCCGCAAGATATGGTTTACTGCCGGCTTGACTCGGGTGAGCAATATCAGCAGCACACCTGTTGCGATATTCACCGATATTATCTTCAGGATGTCGTCGTAATTTAGCTTGAGTTATCTGTATCCGTTCACCACCCTCAATTCGGTCTTGATCCTAGCGACTGGTGCGTTCAAGTCTCACAACAATATTCAAATTCGTACAGCATTCCGAGGTTTGGTACAGAAAAGACAGAATCCAGTCAGAAATATTCTCAAGCATGCCCCCCCTCGTCGTCTCCGCCATACCCATCATCTAACTCATCGCCAAATCCCTCCGGATTCTTCGTGTAAATGAAAGGGCGCTCTCCAGTTCGGCATTAACTGCAAGGGTCTCGTCATACCAGTCCTGCCTGATCATAAAAGGCCACAGCGTGCCGGCAGGGATTCGGGAATGAAGATTGCCGAGATTTAGGCGTTGAACGACCGGTCGGGACTTCTTCTTCTGAGTGCGTTTCTGTTGCTCGCAAATGCCATCCAAGTCATCTTTAATCTCGGTCATCTACCGCGGTTGTTGTGAGACATTGGTATGCACGAAGAGAGGTATACGTACCTCCGTTGTTTGAAATCCGGGTCAGACACGCTCCCACAAAGGTTGGCTTTCCTGCTCGGGAGTTAGCTTCGCGGCCTCGACAAGCAATTTACGATGGATGTCCTTCTTGGCCTCGTCGTCGGTATCCGGACCAGAAATCTCGTCGGACATCCAGTCAGTTTCCAAAATGAATGCGGGGTTTTTCTTGTGCCTTTTCTTGTACTCCGGAGGTGCTTTGAGTCGGTTTCGCTTCAACTGAGCTTCGTGAGCACACCGCATGCCACAGGGAAAAATGGGACGACACACATCTTTTTTTTCTCATGGTTTGACGGCCCTTTGCTTCCTGACGAGCTCGCTTCGCAGCTGCTGCTGTATCAGTCTCAGCCTTCCAACTTCTTTTCCACGTGCGAAAATTCGTTTTTCCGAATGAAGCGATGTCAGCGAGGGTGAACTTGACGTCCTTATGAAGCAACGAGAACGTATCGGCCTTTGGATCCTGTATCGAACGAGTTAGATGGAGTAAAAGACTTGGATGTTGTGGGTATTACATGTTGTTCTTTCCAAATCAATTCAGCGGCGCGATCTATGACCTTCGTGTTCGTGGGATGGTCGATATTTTGGTTGAAATCAAAGGACATAACAGAACGAGAGGGACGAGCGGGAGGGGCAGAGGAGGATTCGGAGTCGGAGTCGGATTCAGAATTTGCGTCACGAGCCATTCCTGTCAGAGTCATGAGCTCCGTCTTCATCTTCTTCTGCCATGCAGAAATTAAATGCATTCATTGAAAGGGTGATGAATATGGTACCATTAGTTTTTTTCTAACTTCTTCCTGCTTCACAGAAAGACCCTTGGCATCTCTCAGAAGATAGGCATCTGACTTTTTGCGTCGTTTTGAGGAGCGAGCTTCTGGACTAGAATTCACGCGTTTTTCTGCCTTCAGATCGCGGACCTCGCGCTCGAGAGCCTCAAGACGCTGTGTATTTGTATTTGGGTCTTGCACTTGGAGAGCTGGATCAATGACGGGTGCCTGCGGCGGAGGTGGTGGAGGCGGCGGCATTGTATTTTGTTGCATGAACTGGAAGTGGTGGTAGGCAAGGGCAAGCTGCTGAGGGGTAAGCGGAATCGGTGGGGCATCGTTCGGCCCAGCGGTGTAGGGATAATGGCCAGAGAAAGCCGACATGGTGTCGAAGGAAGAAGCGCGGCGCGTTATTGTGGTGTATGTGGTGCATCACGCTTCGATCATAACATCTACATACACCTACGCAGACGCTCACCTAGACGTCTTAGACTGAGGGTCTGCGGAGGTAGGCCAAGGGACACTTCACATAGCTTATACAGCCCTGCCTAGTGTACATAGCATAACCTCAAGTATAGGTCTGCGGAGTGTACCTCGGCAGACTTCCACGAACCCTCGCTAGATTCGTCTTAAACACAGTGAGTCGGCAGGGAAGCGCTGAGCCGGAAAGCGGGCTCAGGCTGCGAGGTGATGAAAGCCAAGGATAAAATGTCTGATGTGTGTCTGCCCTGGCTAATGCAAACAACCGCTTGCGGTCCGAATGGGGCATGCAGCATGCACTGCCACAACGCCGACGCAGCGCAGGGGATCCTCGCGGGCGCGGCGCCGGTGGATGTCCCCGTGCGTTCGTCAGTCGACTCCAGCGCACCACCCCCCGCCCCCGCAGACGAGCACGGGTCGCCGCAGCTCAAGCCGAAGCTCATCCAGCGGCTGAAGGGGACTCTGAATTAGCTTGAACGGTCCTCGGTTTTGTGCACTCAAATTGTCGGTGTGGGAATGTCATCGCTGTCCCAAAAAGATACACGAACCCAATTAATGTCCCGCCCCGAGTCGAACGAGGGCCTCCCGCATCATAAAATTTCTCCCTATAGATGATTAATGCAGGCGTGCACCGTACACCAGTGGGACTCGTCTCGACCGACTCTTGAGTTTGTTGACTCGAATTTCGATGCAGGAATGCCATCGCTTAGAAAACTGAAAAAACCAGGCCCCGCGATCAATTCCCGCCCCCGAGTCGAACGGAGGTCTCCTGCAATGTAGTTTGTGAAATGTGGTGATCAATTGCAGGACTTTAATTGGTGTGAACGTCCCCCGGATTTACGTTCGATTGTCAGTGTACGAATGTCCTGGCGCCTTAAAAAGGTGGGCCGATCGTTGGAATCTCCCGCCCCCCGAATCGAACGGAGGTCTCCTGCACAAGTTTTCGAAAGCCTTTATCGGTTGCAGGCGTGCACCGCGCATCAGCGGGACTCGCAATTAGCTTGAACGTACCTTGGTTTTATGCGCTTGGATTTTCGGTGCAGTATTGTCATCGCTGCCCTAAAAACAGCGGGGCAATGCAATGTCCCGCCCCCGAGTCGAACGGAGGCCTCCTGCACAATTAACACGGAAATGCTCTATAAATTGCAGGCGTGCACCACGCACCAGCGGAACTCGTAATTGCCTGAACGTGCCTGGTTCTATGCGCTCGATTTTACAGCCCCTGAATCGTTCGCTCCCTCAGTCAAAAAGCCACCTGAATTTGTCATGTCCCGCCCCGAGTCGAACGGAGGCTTTCTGCTTATGCGATGCCAAAAGCGTATAACGGCAGGCGTGCACCGCGCAACCAGCGGGACTCGTAATTGGCTTGACCGACCCTCGGTTTTGTTTATCGGTGCACGAATGTCCTCGCTGCCCTAAAGAAAGCTGGGCAACCCATGGAATATTCCGCCCCCGAGTCGAACGAAGGCCTCCTGCCTAAGTACAACCTGTATATGTAGGCAGCCTAATTTTGATCATCAATTGCAGGTGTGCACCGTGCACCGGCGGGACTCGTAATCACCTCGACCGATCTTCGGTTTTATGCGCTCGACTTTACGGTGCCAGAATCGTTCGCTCCCTCACTCAAAAAAGCTAGGGTAACGAAGGGGCATGCCCCGCCCCCGAGTCGAAACGGAGGTCTCCTGCAAATGTTGCTCGTAGTTTTCTTATCAATTGCGGGCGTGTACCGCGCACCAGCGGGACTCGGAATTAGCCTGCACGTCGCTTGGTTTCGTGCGCTCGAATTGTTGGTGTAGGAATGACATCGCTGTTCAAAATTGGAAAAGCGGGCCCTGCCAGCAATGTCCCGCCCCGGAGTCGAACGGGGTTCTCCTGCCTTTGCTGTGGCAACGGGATAATGTACAGTCGTGCGCCTCGCACCAGCGGGACTCGTAATCATCTTAAACACACATTTGCTTCATAGACTCCGATCTCCCGGCCCTGAAGAAAAAGGAGATCCTAGCAACTTAGCTATGTCCCGTCCCCGAGTCGAAGTGAGTCTTCCTGCACAATTAACCTAAGGGAAATACCCAACAAAATGCGGGTGTGCAAGGCGCACCAACAGGAGACTCTTAATTGCGGTGAACGGCCCTCGATTTTATTGACTCTGGTTTACGATGTAGCGATGTCATCGCCATCGGCGTCATAGCTCAGCTGGGAGAGCAGCAGACTGAAGACATTTGCTGTTATCTGAAGTCCCGTGTTCAATCCACGGTGATGCCATTACCTTTACTCCGCGCTTGATTGGCGAGCCTCGCGTAGCTTTTTTGACCCCATTATACGTATAAAATAGTTGTCTACATAAACCCCTCATATTATTTTTAAAAAGGATGAACCCAAGCGATGTTCCGCCCCCGAATCGAACGGAGGCCTCCTGCATATATCCCTGCGGTTTTCCTACAAACCAGTGCAGGCATGCACCCCAAACCAACGGGACTGTTAATTACCTTGAACATCGCTCGGTTTTGTGCGCTCAAATTTACAGCCCGGGAACATCGCTGCCCCAAAAAAACTCAGCCCAAGAGCAATGTCCCGCCTCCGAGTCGAACGGGGTCCTCCTGCATATCCACCTTCAGGCCCACATATGAATTGCGGGCGTGCACCGCGCACCAGCGGGACTCGTAATTGTCCTGAACCTCTCTTGATTTCGTGCGCTCGAATTTCAATGCAGAAATTGTCATCTCTGATCGGAAAAAGCTGGACCAAGCGACCGAAACGGGGTCTTCCTGCACAAGTTGGTTCGAAAGGGGTTATAGAAATATTGTTGAGACAGGAGACGAGGCCGACCCATTCCTTTTTCTGTATGCAACTTTAGATACGGTCACAGCAGAGGCAGAAAAAGGGTGGTTCCGCCATTCTGGTTACTAGTTCAATACATGTGTCAATTGGAATCCGGAACGAGCATAGATTGAACGAAGTATGGGATGAGGGAGTAAGTCAAATTGAGTTGAACGAAGTGTTGAATGACTCGGTGAGATCAGGATACGTGGGGAAGGAAAGGGAACGATGGAAAGGGAAAAGTAAGCGATTCAGGCATGGGCTCGAAGACGATCAACCCGCTTCATCTCATGCTTCACCTGCGTCATGATGTATTTAGCATTCCCTGGGCTAATACTCGCCAGCCGAATGAGATCGTCCACCGTTCCGAGAGTCGAGATCTCATCGATCTCATAGAAGTCCAGGTCTTCAAACGTCTAAATGTAGGCAAGCAGGCCGCGGCGTGGTTCATATCCGTCCAGCTCACGGAGGAAGTTTGATATCCCAGGGTACTTAACCGCACCCATGTCCGGAGGAATCACTGGATGGAAAAGCGGCAGGGAGGGCTGAGGTCGATGCGTGTGAAGGGCCGGCAGGCGCGACGTCTCGGACATGATGATGCGGAACAGGAGTTGGTGTTGCCAGGCGCCGGACATTGGCATGGGAGCTGCGCCGGGCATTGCCCACGGCGGCATGTACGATATCCGGGTGGCATCATGAACGGCGGCATACCTCCGAATTGGGTCTGCATCGTGGAGGGACGGGCTGCACAACATCAGGGAGCATAGTTCTGAAGAAATGCCGAAGAGGTTCTGCCCCCCGACATCGCGAGGCGGTGTCTAGAGCGTCACATTGTGCTTCCCAAGGGTCTGGACAGCATGAGAAAAGATAAAAGGATTCAAGCAAGTACAACCAGTGCTTGAGCCCATGCGCGCCGTTGATTGTTGTTCAGATGATGTGCAGCCCTCCGACAATGATTTTACAAAAACTTGTCGGTCCGCAGGCTTGGCAATGCCCATACGTGTTGTCTAGCTGTCCCATGAACTTAGTTTCCTTCTCCATACCTCCCAAATCCTCGTCAAAATCGTCGTCGTCGGTGGCAGCATGATCCAGGTCCAAGATCGGAGCCTTCTTACCCTTCTTCGCGGTGGGTGCCTTATTTTTGCCACTCTTGGCAGCCACCGAAGCGAGATACTAAAGCCAATGAGAGCAGTGCAATTACCGCTGAAATGACGCTTACTTGATCGATGACGTGAATCATAACAGGGATAACCGTGCCAGCTTTCTTGGCGTTCTCCGCCTGTAGAACGTCATCCAGACAGCCCTTCCAGTCGACCCCCGAGGTTAGAGACATTGCAGGTGCCGCTTTTGTAGCATTACCCAGTTTGTATGATAGGTCGGGCTTCCGGTTGAAATCTGTACACCCAATCGTGCTGTGAATAACGGCAGGGAGACCGAAAAGGGGGTAGCGTGTGTAAACTCGACGTGCTGATTGCCTAATTCCAAGGCACGGGGAATATTCAGCAGAAGTTCTCAAGGATGCGCAAAAAATCAGTGTCGGAAATAATGTTCACCAATTGTTTACGCACTGCGCTTCGCGAGATCGACCTTCTCTGTCTCCGTCAGTACCTCCTTTGCATGCTTCTTCTTCTTGGCCCGGGGTTCCAAATTAGCATCTGAATCGTCGCTGAGGGTGGCGTTGAGGCGTCCATCCGCTGCGCATTGCAAATGCGAATCGAATGGTCCAACTTCCATGGAAAACGGTCCCAATCTGGGTCTGGGGCAGCTGTTCTAGTCAGAAAGTGCGCTGACAGCAGATATCCGGGTGCCAGAGATGGAGTATGTATGGTCTCAAGACAAATCCAGGGTACCATCCGCTGCGCATTTCAAGCGCGGATCGAATGATCCAACTTTCAGAGAAAGCGGACACGGTCTGGGGCGTGAGCGGCTGTTCTAGTCGAAAATCATCCCCAAAATGGACAAAAAAACTGCCCGCGCCCTATGTTCCGCAAACGGCTGTAAAGCAGCTGATATCCCCATCAAAATTCTGAATATCGAACCCTATGTTCGCAGGATGAACTCGAGTATTAGTCGGTGCGCGGGGGGGGGGGGGGGGTGGTTGGGCCAGTGGGGCTCGTGTTTTGGCCTCGTACTCGAGGCGGTCTGAGCAACGGTCGAAAAGATGGCGACGGTGACTGGACTCGGGTTCCCCCGTCCGAGCAAATGACAGCGCCATCATTCAACACACAATCCGCACTGACAGTGGCCGCAAGGTCGGCAAAGGAGGTTCAAAAGTATTGGCATACCCCCCCCTCAAATGCGTGGAATGATTTTAGTAGTAGTACAAAGCGGTCAAGATGCGGGTTGTTTAATTAGATTGTCAACTACTGTATGCAGCCGATTCCGAAAGTTGGGATGCTCAGATATTGGGGTGGGATTTTTCATTGTTAGGGGAAGGACCAGGACCAGTGCAGTATCCGAAGAGGGTTAAGGAACCAGGTCATTTAAGAATCAGCTTGTGGCTTGGCGGGCCATCGTTGCGGCACAAGTGCGGCATTCCTCGCAAGTTAACACTTTGGGAGACAAAATAATCACCTTAAATCTCACTGACCTTCCTCTGGTCAAAGGTTAGGTACAGACTTAACCTTGCTGAAAGTAAGGTCCCCCTCCCTGAAAATTAAGTCGCCGAAATCTGCATGGAAGAAACATCACATAAACACACTTGAGTAGCCGTATACCCATCCGCACGGAACAAACAAGAGCCAAACAATAGCTTCCCTTCTCTCCGCACAACTAGCCGAAATCTGCTCAGAACAAAAATCCAATACTTGCTTGGCTTCATTCCACACAACTTAGCCGAAACCTACATGGAACAAATATAATCAACCATAAGTTCCGGATTCCGCCGGGGGTCCAGTTCAACTCTTGACTAGCAGTGACCCGTGCTTCGCTACGGTCGGACCATAAAACAGTGTGAGGTTTTAGTTAGGCAGTTCCCCGTGCTATAATACAGAATTTGCCGGTCACATTAGTATGAATAATGAAGACACCGCTCGTTACCAACTTTCGGTTGGCTCCTCGCGACATCATGGACATTTTGTTAATTATTTCGTATTTTTTAGATAGGAACCCTCGTAATGTATGTACGTGTATAATTCAGTTGACTGAACATCATTGATGGCAGGTAAGCATTGATTCACCTGGTCGCAAATTTCGAGACTTGTGAAGTTGCCCGTTTTATCCGCACCAAGTTGAGTGCTGATACTTTCTCGGGAATCTTGAATTGAAGGACTCTGATGATGGTCGTAGGACGCAGTCAAAAAATGTCAGATAATCTCAATTAAGAATGGCTCGGTCTGGTTTGAGAAGTGGAGTGATAAATTAGTGGGCGCATCTGCGAGGTTCTTTGGTGCTCATGGGGGACGAAACAATACCAACTTAAGTCAACTTACAAATTGAACAATTATAATAGAAACTCAACAGTCGAGTGGAGCAGTCGTGCAGAATTCAACATCCCGGTGGGCCCATGGAGCGACTGATGTCAGTGGAGCTCAGGGACTTTCGGATCATGTTTGACTCGAGTCAAAGAGCGGGGAGCTCAATTGTAAGATAGATACATATTTCTTGGGAGTAAGCCAGCAAGGTCCTAGACACCAAGGCCGGCCACTCGTCCAATAAGGACAATGGGTACAAGACAGGCCTCCGCTTCGCTCCGGCAAACTGCTCATGAAAACGGTGTATGAACAGGGATGAAATTCAATTTATTTGAGACCTCGAGCCTAAAAAACAGAAATCTACCAAGATCCTTCCACTATGCAAAGAAAGGGCAGAATCGGTGCAATGTAGATCATGAGAAACGAAAGAAAAAGAATAGCGAGGATGGTCGCAAAGGTGCGCAGTATGCAGCAAATAACACAATCCAAGGACAAATTACAATAAAGCAGTGGGCCGGAATGTGGCTCACGATCACTAGGTGCATATTCGAGCAAGGCGGTAGGTGGAGGCACATTCAAAGGCAGTAGGTGCAGACACATTCCGACGGGCAATGCAGAGTACTTTTTTTATAAGCAGGATATACCCAACTTTAACTGCTCAAAAAGGCAATTTTTTCGGTCCGGCCTACGGCCGGGGGATGTCCCACACCTACCAAAAAAGGCAAGCACGGCGTCCTTGATCCCGCTGATCCCGCTGTCCCGCATTCATCTGTCCCGGCGGCTAGCCTTCTCACTCCGCCGTGCGGTTAGTCCGATGCGCCCTCGCGCCGCCCCATACCTCCGCTACGCCTTTCCCCCAGACGCAGAGGACGGCGCGTTCAGCCGGCTACCTCGCTCAATATAGCGGCGCCAACTCTGTGTTGGCCGCGGATCTGCGTGCGCTCCTGCTCCTATGCCATTCGTCTGAGATTGGTCGCTGAACGTGTCCGCAGTGTCTTCGCACTCACTTCACGCGCCCGCGCCTCTCTTCGC